ATTTTTTTTTTTTTTTTTTTTTGAATTCATAATTTGGTTTGATGGGATAGGGGGTTTTAGGACATCATAGAAGCTTAGCTGCCTGCAACTTGATATTTTAACTGTTTAGAATTTGTTTTTTTGCTGTTTGATGAGAATGTTTCTTCTTTCCTGTCATAGGTTGGAGATCCAACTGAAATAATTGAAGACACCAGGTACGATCAACACCAAACAGTGCAAAAGCTTGATTTGGAGATACCAAGTAGAACTCTTGAATATACCACAGGGGATGTTGTGAGGATAAACATGCCCTTAACACCAAGTTCTACTCCCAAAAGAGTGAATTTCTCACCTCTTCCCAGCCCTAATTTTTCCATATTGGATGAGTCCCCAGGTCCTTCAATATCAAAAAATAAATCAGTCTTAAGGAGCTTCCTTCCAAAATTAAGTTTCAAATACCGTAATACTACTTTGGACATTGAGAAGGCTGCCGCCTTAGCTTTAGGAGGTTCATCTGGAGAGACAAGGGAGAAGACACTCATTTCCAGGACATTCTCTTTACCCAAGCTTTTCACACCAAGAACGAAGAAAACATCATCATTACCTGTTACACCAACTGTTCACTCAAATCCAGAGTCCATGCATGGACGACAGGAAGCAAATAACACACTTTCTGCTGTGAGTATCTTGCCTTGCTACCAGGTTTGCCTGGGAGATAAATATGTTGTATGCTATGCTTAAATAATACTTTAAAATGCTACTGTGCTGGATGATGCCCCTTGCACTGCCAGATATCAAATAAATAATCTTCATAGTGCTGAGGTGAATGCTATATTAGCGTCCGTTTACAATAAATGAATGTAACAAAATTTAAAGTTTAACTCAAAACTACAAACACAATTTCTGAATGGGACGCAGTTTTGCAGTCCAACACTTTTTTGATTTCTGAAATTAAGAACTTATTTATGTGCTTACTGAATTTATTGTAAACAAGCAGCATCCATCACCAACTTAGATCTTTTGAGTTATTTTTATGATCATTACATTTCACACAAGTTTGTTAGTACCTTCTGCTCTTTGACTTTATTTGTAAACAGTACCTATAATTTGACTAAGTTGAAACCAAAATAGTTCTCTTTTTGAATTCTCCATGCCCATAAATGCTTGTCAACCCTCATTAGGGGAACTTTTTAAATTTCTGTTGAAGTCCAATCAATATCTAAACTGAATATTGTCTGCAAGTCCACTCATGCAGCACAAGGTGGCTTCAAGGTGGGGAATCTTGAATTTGCTACATTAGTGTCATGGCCAGTCCCCATGTATGTGCAACTTATTGGTATTGAGTTGCTTTTCTAAGTAAACTTAGTGGTTATGTTTTATTCTTGATACATGTATTACCTATTCTAGTACGTATGCCCCTTTTTGATCTTTATTGTCAAAATGGGTCATACTTTTTTACTTGATTCTTACAGAATTCCTCACTTTACAGAAAGGAGAGGCAAGACCACCCATTCATCGTTCACGCTCAGTTCCTGTGCTAAACAAAGATGGAAGCATAACATGGATGGATTCTTTAGGTGGTTTATTTCGTGTAGTTCCCATGACTCCACGAGTTGCCAAGGAAAGTGCCACAATGACATCAAATGTATCTCCTGAAAATGATACTGGTAGCTTACTCTATCCCAATTCAGTTCTTCCCTCCCCAAAGGAAACAATGAATAGAATATGAGTTTAAAATACTAAAGGGAGAATCATAAGTTAGAACTTCAAAATTTATTGTGTTTTTTGTGTTGGGGAGATTTCGAAATTACTAAATGGTCTTTGTTCTGTTGGCCAAGTCAGTGAATCATATTCATGATCAAATCTCCTTTTAGACAAAAATACCTTTGAATCCGATAAAATGCAGCAAGAGACTAATTGCAGAATGACTAAGATGAAGCAAAAGTGTATAAGAGTGTGAAACTTGAAAGCATCAATCGTAGAATCATTTTGGTATTCATTTTTAGCTTGATTCTAATATATATTTTGAAATGATTGCCAAAACCTGTAAGCACTAGGTTTGTAATTATTTTAGCTTCTAATTTGTTTAAACATTGAGCTCTCTTACCTTTCGTAGCTTGCCATAATTATCTTATATCTAATCCTAGTCTTTTGGTTCAGATGGAAATGATGATGATGGTGAAGATATTGCTGAAGAAGAAGCTGTTTGTAGAATCTGCTTCACTGAACTGGGAGAAGGTGGTGATACGTTCAAGTTAGAATGCAGCTGCAAGGGAGAACTTGCCCTGGCCCACCGAGAATGTGCCATAAAATGGTTTAGCATTAAAGGTAACAAAACATGTGATGTATGCAAGCAAGACGTTCAAAACCTACCGGTTACCCTTTTACGAATTCAAAATGTTCAGGCTTTGAGAGGAATTAGAGGTCGGCAAGCTGAGTCTGGTCAACATAGGCAAGTGAAAATTTTCAAAGTTGAATCCAAATGGTGTTGTTTTGTTCTTTTTGGCTTCTAACACAAACACACAGACACTTCAAAGATGTAAAAATTAAATGTTTTAATTTTCATCAGGATCTGGCAAGACACACCCATTCTTGTCATTGTCAGCATGCTTGCTTACTTCTGTTTCCTTGAGCAGCTTCTGGTAAGTTTGTTACTCAAGGGTGTTTAACTTTCTTTTCTGGTCTGTTATCCTGATTCTATTACCTCAATTACATATGCAGGTGTCAGACATGAAGGCTGGTGCCATTGCCATAGCACTTCCATTTTCTTGTATGTTGGGTCTTCTTGCTTCCATGACGTCAACAACAATGGGTTAGTTGATTTCATATTTTTCAGCTTATGATGTGCTTCATACATTCTTTTTTTCTTTCTTTCTTTTTTTTTTTTTTGATATTTATTTAGCTTGCTGACTCTAATAGTTGCTTTCAGTAATGAGAAAATATGTCTGGCTTTATGCTACTATTCAATTTGGCCTGGTGGTTCTCTCTGCTCATCTTTTCTATTCATATGTAAGAAAATTTCTCTGCTCAAAATCATACTTAAAGAAATTCGTTTATTAAACCCATCTTGTTAAGAATTGAATTCCCATTTTAAAAGTTATATGTTTATCTACAGCTTCTTCACAAACAGGCTGTGAGTTCTATTCTTCTCTCCACATTCGTCGGGTTTGGGATGACAATGTTTGGAACTTCTGTTCTTTATGAGGCTGTCAAATGGTGGAGAACAAATGAACTACCCTGGAGAACTCCGCATGCTCAATCAAATGAACTACCCCAGTAACAGATAAAATCCAAACCACCATGAAACTGAAAAAAGATGTGTTCAGAAAGCATGAATGGCACTTTGAAGTGTATATCTTTTTAGTGGCATAGATGAATTTTAAGTTTCTGTTGGATAAAACAATCACAAGTTGAATAATTCCTCTGAAGTTAATTTTCATAATGCTTGCATTTATTCTCGCCAAACATGCAGTATAACAGTCTTAACGCAAATTAAGTTTTGCATGTTATTTTTCCCATATATATTGTGGAATGGCATCCTCAAAATATAAACAGCCAATTCTTAACTTACAACAAAATCATCAAATGCAAGCAAATATTATGACAAAATTTGTCCATAGCCGATGGTCACATTATCAAACTAAGGCTATGATGCCTATCAGCAAGCCATCGTAGTAGTTTTTGGGTTTCCTAACAAAAATCATATGGTAACGGCAAAAAATGCACTACCAAAGACAAATAATCACTCAAATGAACCTCCCAAGAAATACAAAACGTAAAGGAGCCATTTCATGCTATTCCTGTCAGTGTTATTTTCATATTTTCTAGCAATAGCCGGTTTTGTACTTACAAAGTTAGAGGTTCTCTCTCCAAACCTCTTAGTGCCATCTTCCATGGCAGTCTTGACCTTGAATATACAATGAATTCAGTTGGTTAATCTCATTGCGATCCGATTTTGTTTAAAACAGTTGTGCATTGAGAAAACCAACTTGATAAATATGAGATGAACTGTCATGCTTGCAAATAGAAATGCAACTCCAGCAAAGAGGGCTTCATTTTGCCTTGCATCTGATGTCTGGTCATTGCTTATAACTAGAACTGCCAACCTTGCTAGAAAGCAATGGTTTATCCTTTGAACTGGTACTTAACATGCTTTCACTATTGCTTGATTGGCTTTCTACTACTCCAGGTCTGATCCATATTTTTATGTGTCCCTCTCGACAAACGGTAAGAACAGATTCCTCCGTAAAAATCAAGCCTGAGAGTGGTTCAGTGTGAACACGGTGGGCGACTAGTGGTGAGATTTTTGGAACATCTCGCATACTTGGAGCAGGTTGTAGAGTACCCAATGGGGACACATTATCCCAATGGGAAGATTGGCTCCCAGCACTGTAAGTGGGAGAGCCACCAGGAGGGCATCGACGCAATGGCACCACAATTTCATCCTTTTGCAGGTCCCATAGTAGCAACTGCGTGTCCTGCACTCAAAATGGAAAGTGATGTAATAATCTGAACCACTCAGGGCACACATGTAACTTGTGGAAGCAGAGGCTGGACAAAGAGAATAATATAAGCTATCATAATAATGAACAGATCAAGGCTCATCTTATCTATTCTCAGAGACTGACTTTCAATACAAAATTTTAAGTAATTAAAGTCTGCAGTTTGTTTGTCCCATTTCAACTGAAAATAAAATGGAACTACTAATTGATAGTCCATGCAGCAATGTTCAAAACCATTTAACTGAAAATTTCCTCTTCCCTTCAAAAAAAATATCTTTTTCATTCTTCCACCATAGAGCATATACATGCTTTTTGGTAGATTTATTTTAGTTTCTCCTAGTGTTGCCAATAACTAATCAACTAATCTCATTTACAATGGTCCTTGATCACCAATATTATAATGAGAAGTACAGTGTCTCTGAGAAAGGATAAAAATTTTCTGAGACAGAAATAACCAGAGAAAACATGGCATCCTTTTTTGGCTCACGAAAACATGGTATCTTTGATTGTAAAAACGAATCATGATAATGACAATCGAAATCTCACTAGACTTAACAGCATGTAAGTACCTGACCAACAGAGCCAAATCGATACATAACAGTCTCCCCAGTGCCATCTGAATTAGGTGATGACCAATATGAATCAAAGGCCACTCCACTAACCTGCCAGCCCATTAAAAAAGAAACAATTAAGTAATCCTCAGCAGCAGCAATTAATAATCAGAAGCACTTATCATAGAATAAGAATCTTACCCATGAATTGTGCCCCTCCCCCCAAGCAACAACCTTCCGATCTTCCATGCTCCAAACTTGAACCAAGTCATCTTCACCACCAGTCAAAATATATTTTGCATCTATACTGTTAAGTAGGAATTTGCTGTCTATCACATTGTATTTTCAAGAGAATAATACTTTTTAAGGCAAATAAAGGTCTAGAATGTCTAGAAGTACATTCAATATCAAACAAAAGACTAGGGATTTGAGGAAAGAGAATACTCTTAAGTCTTAACAAACAGCAAGCGACCGTATAAAAAAAAGTAGAGCACCTCCAAGCACAACATAGCAGAGCACCATAATAACTTTTGCCACCACATACGAGTTGTTCCTTTGAATAGTCAAAAACCCGTAAAAAACCTGAATTTAGGAAATATAAATTATAACTTCAGCTCATATAAATTAAATAAGACTTCAAATGCAAATTATGTCTCATATCATACCGTCCCTTCCAACAGTAGCTAAATAGGTCCCGTCAATGGAGAAAGCAATGCTATTAATTGAGCCTTGACAGATATGCCATCTCGCTATTGGGTTACTCTACATGTAAATTTAGAGAAGTCAGTAGACCATAAAATATGCAGAAACAAAAGCAGCAGATGTCTATGATTCTATGCTTCCCTCAATGATGTAGCATTATGGTTGGACAAGTACCATTACAATGCTCTCCCAACGAGAATGTTACAATATCCTTGCATGCAGACTTGCATGTGAACTAAAAAAGTACATCCCTGGCACAAAAGCCGAATATGGATAGGCAAACAGGTGCATGTGTGGGCAAAGAATATAACACCATTGCAGCACCTTTGTACATTATATTAATTTTTGCAGGAAAAAACAGATTAATTATGCATGTATGCACAAAAAAGCAAGCATCTTTCATCAAAATCGAAACAATCAGAAACCATTGGAGACATGACACATCATAAAAGTGACAATCAAAATTAACATAATTGCAGAACACAAATGGAAATGACACAAGAAAACCTTGATTACAAAGACAGGATCCTATGAAGTCAGTACCACTAACTTTTAAATCTCAATCATGATACCTGCAGCACTTCTAGGAATGTGTGTATCAATTTTTTGTTCAATAATATAAATCCTGGCAAGTGCTTACCAGCATCTCATGCATAATCTAAATTAAAATAGAATCTGTTTGGCTAAATCAAGAAGTGTCTGTATAATGAAAAATGTTTAAATGCTTACATAGCATCTATCACTAAGCCTAAAAATGATACAATCATTAATTTTTTACTGGCCTTTGGATACAGTTAAGAGTTATATCTACAAATATTTAAATAAAAGATTTAAGTAAGTGCCATCCAAATAAATTCCAGAATAGTTTTAGAACCAAATCAACACTGATCCAGTACCTTACTGTAGCGTGCATGTGCAACAGAAAATTGAGTTTGATCTTTGATAACAGGGAACGAAGACTCAGCAGCACCATCCTTGTTCTAGAGGGGGAAAAAAAAAAAAAAACAAAAACAAAACAAAAATGAAACCAAATGCTTTGATCACACTCAACATAGTGCACTAGCATGAAAGTCAAAAGTTAATAGCCCAGTGTGAAATGTGCTATTCTTAATATGTGACACTTGCCTTTTCATAGACATACAAATTCCCATCAGCATGAGCAACAACAAAAGCACCTTCACCTCCAGGCACCCATGCAATACTAGTACAACGACTGGTGGAAACAAGCAGCATTAATCAAATTTGTGCTCAAATAAAGACTAAACAAAATGTAATTTATCTGCAAAATCTTGTCAGCAATTAATAAAAGTATTGAAATAAGGCAGCCATTAACAACAAAAGTTATCTTCTACCCATCCAAGGCCAAGGGAATTCTTCAGCAGGAATTTAATTTTAGATATTTCAACAGAAGAAAACTGATTATAACTTGAGAATTCAAACAAGGTTAAGAAAGAAGCTGCAAGAAAGCTTTCAGGTACATGCCCTGTGTGTGGCTCTATCTAGAATTTAAAAAGGTTTTCCTACTTGTTCATTGTGGAGGGTCCTGCTGTTGTGAGGGTAAAAAATAATATAGAGAAGTGAACATCCCTAATGTTTTATTTCCAGGACAAGCCACTAGAAGTGAACATGCAAGAACTTGGAAAATTCAAAAAATAATATAGAGAAGAAACATTCAAAAGGTCATCAGCAATAAAAAAGTATAGGAGAATTCTAGCATGCAAGAACATAATAATATAAATCTTGCCTGCTATTAACAGAACTGTCTTTGTTGTAATGTTGGGCACCAACAAGCTTCTTTCCCACATCCTGTAATTGCTGCCTTAGTGACACTGAGTAGACTACAATGATACACACACAATCCATAAATTTGCAGAGTCTAAACTTTGGAACTGAAATTGCAATTTAAAGCTTTAGCCAAAAGGATTACCATCACCAGAAATCAACCCAATAAGCAAATCATGTCCATCCTTAGCATCCTGATCAAATGCATGGCAAATAGGATTTGAATTACTGAAATGGATTGACTTGATGGGATCCTGCATACAACAACAAACTCTTAAAATGCCGTCATGGAATATCTGTTATATTCATCAAAGTCAAACAAGAAAAAGCCAAATTACCTTATCTTGAGAGTTAAGATCACTTATAAAAATAGCATCACCAGCATTGAAGATTAAGTATGTCCCTTTCCCATCAAAATTTGTGTTAGTAATTGAATTACTTGAACTTGAAGCACCGAGTGACCCAATGCGACTACTCCCACTAAGACTTTTACTCCCACCATTTCCTCCAACAAAACTCAAAGCTCGGCTTCCATTCCCAGCACCAAGCAACCTTGCTGCTGCTGATCTTACTCCACTGCTAGCACTGAAGCTGGAAGTTGGTGCTGTTGGTGTTGATGGGGCTGGTTTGTCCTTGAGATGTGCTAGGGTAACCTGATATTTAAATTTAATCAAAGACAATCCAAGCCACTGACATTGAAACATTGGCCTAACTTAAAACTTGAAGCTACAGAATCCAAAATAACAATGAGTAAATGCAAAAGTGACTTATATAGAATCATGGGCATCAACTAAAAAGTGGTTAACAAAATACATCCTACAATCGTAATCAAGCAAAATGCAATTAAAACCATCCAAAATCCAAAACTGAACAACAATCTCTTCAGAATGTTGAAGTAAAAAGGGGTGTTAAGAAAAAGGAAAATCCTACAATCACAATCCATCAAAGTTCAATATGTACAATTTTCAGAGAAAGAAACAGGACAACAAAAAAAACAATATATCAATCAGCAAGCAAAGCTTCCATTTAACTGATTTAAAAGTTTAAGTAACAGGAGAGGGAAAATTCTTCAAAAAAAATGGAGGAAAATCATAGAAACCAAGATTAACAGCAAAAGATGGCTCCAAAGAAAGTGACATCAAGCAGCCTGTCTTCATCAACATCCCGAGAAATTAATTTAAAAAAAAAAAAAACCAAAAAAGAGAGTCATTACAGGAAAACAAGTACAAAGCAAAACCCTAGAAAATCGAAGCACCTGAGTAACAGTTTTGCCATGGGCAGAGTGAAGGAGACCAGAAAGATGCGTCTTCTCGTAGTGAAGCTTGTATCGACCCTCGGGAGTTTTGAAATAGGTCTTGAGACCCGGCGATTGCGGGTTCGCCGTGGAAGACGACGATGTCGAAATCATACCGTTGGTAGTGTTGATCATGGCGGCGCTTATTGTAATCTCGAGAGCATATGATCATGACACTAGGGATTCTTCTTCTTCTTCTTCTTCTTCTTCTTCTTTTTTCTTTTTCCCTTATTCCAGATTTTATTAACACAGTCTCTGGTATTTTCCTCTGCTGCTTTCTTCCGGAGAGGTCCTCAATGGCTACCGGATCAAGCAGGAAGGAAAGCGCGGATCCTGTGGTTCGGCGGCATGGAAGGTCCGGTGGTTTGACTTTGAGAGGGGGGCAAAGGTCAACAAAATGGAGGGCGGAGATGATGTGTGTGTGCCTAACACTGTGCTTTGATATTGTGAAAACCAGCAAATGAGGGAAAGGAAGATTAGAGATTGAAATTCAGCTTCTAGAGAAGGAATGGAAAATTACAAAAATACTCCAATAAAAGTTTATTTACAAATGCTAACGGTTAAATTTCAATTTTAATTCTTAAATTTTTAATTTTAAATATTTTTTATATTTAAAACTATATGGTTATAGTCACCGGAAAAAATTATAAATTTTGTTGGTACATCTCTAAATAGGATATATAAA